GGGACACCCTGGATGGGATGCCAGTCCATCGCAGGGCATAAGGCAGGGGGACACCCTGGATGGGATGCCAGTCCATCGCAGGGCATAAGGCAGGGGGACACCCTGGATGGGATGCCAGTCCATCGCAGGGCATAAGGCAGGGGGACACCCTGGATGGGATGCCAGTCCATCGCAGGGCATTAGGCAGGGGGACACCCTGGATGGGATGCCAGTCCATCGCAGGGCAAATACACACACATAATCCCACACTATGGGTAATTTAGATATGCCATTTGGTGTGTGTTCATATCTAACCAGAGTAATGAGAGGAAGTTGACAAACCCAGGGAGAACATGCAACCTGCAGCCACGCAGAGCTGGGGGTGGGAGTCAAGCCCCCAGGCTTGAGGGTGCGAGGAGACGGTGTCTCTCACTGCGCTGCCCAAATGAAAAATTATGTCACAGAATTCAATTCTTCACAAGGCAGGTTTTTTTTTAATTATACTCATAGGATTTTCAAGTCAGATTAAAAATTCTCAATTGGCCAGAACCAATAAACAATTATTAGGAAAACCAATGCATTGTATCACCATATAAACCAGAATAAACACATTACTCTCTGCTTAGTATTCTACAATATGTCTTCAACAGTAAGGTCTATTAACAGGTATACAACAGAAATTCAATCCTGTATCATGGTGTTCATGGTCTTCCTTCCTTCTGTCTGAATGCAACGCCTCACATTTCCACCACATTTCTTTCACAGCTGCTTTTTGTAACATCCTCACGGCCGAAGTTGTGCTGTGGCCTGGAGTGAGATTTTAACTGTCAGGTGACACTCCTGCCAATAGTCTAGAAAACTTAAACACATGCAAATAAAACGTTCCTACATTTCATGTGTTTTTCGGAATAATCATGCAAACTAAAAAGAAAAACTTGAAAATACGGTAACAAGTGCCAAAAGTACTCTTCCAATACAGGAGTAAGAGAAAAATAACTTTAGTGCTGATTGAATATTTATCTTTAATTAACATTTCGAGATTTTTGAATGTTCAATTAACGAGCATTTTCATTTTGCTCGATTCTCAGTACATTATCTAATAAAAGGACATTATTACCTTCATTCATCACATATTCATGAAAATGAATTAAAAAGATTTGCCAAAAATTAGTTCCCCTTTGCATTTCGCAAGAAACGTCATTTTCTGCGACCCCTGGTCGCCGCCGCACCGGAACCGGGGGGCAGGCACGCGCACGCGCACGCGCACGCGCCCTTTAGCGCCTGGCTCACGGCTCACGAGGCGGTGGTTCCTGTTTGCTTCTCGCTGCGCCTCGCACTCGCCATTTTGTCCCGGGCCTTTTCGCGAGAAGCTGCAGCTTCGGACATCTATACGAGCGGAACCGTGTGCATCCCGAACCATGGCTGAGAGCTCGTCTGCGTCGGACGCGGTGTCGCTTGAGCTCCCAGAGGGGGCAGGGCTGCGCAAATTGTCGGAATTACGAGTCATTGATTTAAAAGCCGAGCTGAAACGGCGAAACCTAGACGCCAGTGGAAACAAGAGTATGCTGTCCGAGAGACTGAAAAAGGTGAAGAATGCTGTCCTTCTCGTTGTAAATTCGCACTATTGTGTAATGCAATTGCTGTTTGATTTAACCTCGCAAAACCATGCATGCAAACTCGTTTTTTAAAAATCGCAGGACATATGACGTGATTTGAAAGGACGGTGCTTGTGTAGCCGGATCGCTGTCAGACGCCATCGCAGTTTCGCATTTGGCACAGTTTAACCAATACAACATTTTATATCGTTAATAATCAGAAAACAAAGTTTTCATGGGTTTCGTTTTTGGCCGGATTCAGGGGTGAAGCCTCGCCGGACCTGCGAGCCGCAGCAGGCCGCTTGTCGCCGCTTTCCTGGCACCTTACGCCGATTGTGTTGTTAAGATGTTCTGAACGTGTACTGTAGATCACACACCTACCTAATTATCCAAACGTCATGGAAATACGTGCTTAGTTTATGACGAGTATTAAAGGAGGCGCCGTTTTAATTGTGCCAACACCAGAAGGCTTCAGGATACGTGAATCCAATAGTGCTGCATTGCTGGCTTGGCAGGATCTTAACATACTTACACTGTCAGACTCTATTGAAAAGAGAACTTTATTATAGTTCGCGCGTCATAAGCAGTGCTTATTGTGTATTTTTATCTGTCTGATTTTGTTGTGCTTAGTGTCATGATGGTTTCAAGTTTACAGTCTACATTAAGGTGGTGTTAAATATTTAGTTGTGTAAGTTCTGCACTTAGGGCTTATTTTTGTGTTTATGAGTAAAAGTTCCTGTATGTTCTTATCAAAGGCGATTGAAGAAGAAGGTGGGAATCCTGATGAAATCATAGTCTTCCTGGAGGCGACACCCAAGAGGACGCCCAAGAGGGCAGCCAAGGGTAAGCCTCTCTCTGCATGCTGACACCCGCACAGTAAAGGCGTAGCACTTCATGCTGGGGAATACTAAGCATCTTAGTTCAGGGCTTCTTGGGCTGTTGCGGTTTCTGAAAGAGAAGTTGATTTCAATTTAAATTCCTAGGCAAAAGACAAGAGAATGATGGCTCTGAAGACTGCACCATTGAAGAGGATTCTGTAGATGGGCAGGTGAGTGTACTGGACTAAAATGGACCCGTTATGTAGAATCATGGACGTAGTTCTGATGAGTTTATTGGGAGTGGAATTCTTCTCCTTTATCCCCTCTGCACATGGATGCATCTTTTCTTCTCGTCTTAAGCGGGACGTGTTTGTGCCTCCATGTGGAATCCGGCTCTTGTTTGGCTTTGTTTTGTCAACGCCAGCTGATAGACGCAGCTGTTGTTCACAGGAGGACCCGGACATCAACCTGGACAGTAACTTGGACAGCCTTCATGAGATGGACATCATGGACATGAGCGTGTTGGATGAGACTGGGACCGATAACGGCATCCCGGCCGAGTGCGACGACTACGATGCCGACGAGATCCTCGACTCGCTGTCCAATGAGGGGAATGCCGAAGTGGCCCAGGACGAGCATGACATCATACACGACGAAGACTCGGGCTTCCCGGACCCTCTAGCAGACGTCCAACCCGAGGAGGTGATGTGGGAGGGGAGACAGGGCGGCGAATGGGATGTGGTGTTACTGGTTCAACGGGTTTCTGTGCAGGCGGCCATTTCCTGCAGGCAAAAAAATAGACCGGCAAAACAAATCGTTAGCATGTCGTTTGACAAGTTTTATTTAGCTCATGGCAGTGTTATGCTCTGATATGAAATTACAGATTTAAAAAGTTTGGGGATTTTAGTAAAACACAAACAAAAAAAGAAACCCTGTGGGATTAATGCTCTTTATATTCCTCTAAACAGATTATGGACCCTGAAGGTGTTGATTTGGGAGCCGAAGATGAAGATTTGAAGTATTCAGCAAAAGAGGTATTTCTGAAATTTTTTTTTTTCTAGCATTTTTATTCATCAATTTTATCAAATTTTTGTAATATTTGGCTGTTCATTGTTCTGTATGCCTAGCTACAGTTAGCTAAATATGTTGTTCCTTCTCTCTAGGACCTGGAGCAGTTTGAATCTGAAGACGTGAAAGATGAAATAGGTACTGTTTCACATCTTTATGAACTCAAAAGCGCTTCGTGTCAGTCTTAGTTTCGTAAGGAAGTTGTGAGTTTTTCTTTCCTCGGGAAGAGACTGGAAATCCAAAGAGAATTACTGGCCTTGTGCTAGCCTGTTAACTATAAAGACGTCTTGGTGTTTTAAGACGTAATGTGTAATGCACAGTGAGTGCGCATCCATCATTGCCAAGTTGTGTGAAGTGGTTAATGGTGTTTAACACATGGCCAGTAATTTACACGGCCCGCTTAGTTTACTGAATGAGGTCCTCACTTAGTTGTTGCAGATGCTGTAGTGTTTTTAGGTTGTGGCAAAAGAAGATTAAGAAGTTCAGAAGAGAAGAATCGAAGAATGCCCACCCACGAAACGTTAAAGGATCCGGTTAATGTAATACATGCCTTGGAGATAACCCTCAATGGACCCATAAACAGCACCAGAGGGATTCTGAATTTCCAGTTAAGACAGCACTTCCTATGTCACGGAGACTCAGGAAGGCAGAAATGACTTGAAGATGGACTTTTTGGAGCCCGTGTGCTGGTCTCGCAGCTGCCTTCAGATCAGAAACTTTCGCTACTCGGATCAGGTGAAATGAGAGGGATTGCAGAGATCGGCTATTGTCAGGATTTAAACAAAAACAGTTGCTTGGTCTCTCTTTGTTTTTTCCAGTCTCTCGTTGTTAGTTTTTGCTTATATATGGAGGGAAAAGCAAAGGGTCACCTCCTGTCCCAGCCTTACCAGTTCCACGTAATGCTTGCTGTGTTTCAGAAGTAATTAAACTCTGTGCCATTCTATTCCTATTAAATCCGTAGAAAATGAGAAAGTAGCCGGGTCTTGTAAATCTGAGCCACTTAAGGAAGAACCCCTGGAACAGCCGTCCGAAGAAGAGCCCACCGCCATCGAGGGCTCTCTGAACGATGAACCGGAGGAAGACAATGTGTCCGTCGCCATTAACGCTGATGATGCCTTCAATTTGGAGAGCGAAGCGTCGGCTAGCGACATGGAAAAGGGCGAGTCGAAAGAAAGCGAGGGCAAATCGAAAGCGGAGGACAAGCACAATGTTCAGGAGGACGTAATGGACACGGACAATGCGTGCACGCAGGCCTCTAGCTTAAGCGAGCAGGGTTCGAACGAAAAATGCGCTGTCGAGTCGGAAGCGAAGTCAAAAGCGGTGGGTGAGGAAGATGGCAGGAAGACAGAAGAGAGCGCTGCGGAATCCACGGCAGTGAAAGAGTCCTCCTCTCTTGAGGGCGATGATCAAAAAAAGAGGTTTGTTGTTTTCTGTATACTAGAACAATGGCTATCTTTGTTATAGTGGCTCCTTTGTTTATGAGCTTGGTGCACTTTGGAGGTAAAATGGTCTCCGCATTTTGTCTCAAGTTTTTTTTTTGTTTGTTATTTTTGTAACTCCCCTCATCGTCATTCCCATTCCCCTTCTTTCGTAATATGCTCAGTGTTTCTTGGGCCTTAACGTTGGCTGTCTGACATTCTGCCCATCCTTGCTGTTCATGTCGCGTTATCGTAACGCAGCACACGCCAAATGTGCTCGTAGGCCGCACTTCCGCTGTCGTGTTCAAGGTAGGTGTTTCCGCTCTGGACGTGTGTGACCCCCGCTGGGGGTAAGACCTTTCCGGATGCTGACATGTTTTCTCTCTCTCTAGCACTGATGAGGAAAAAGGTAGCAAGCCTGAATCAAAAGATGGGGAAGGTGAGTGTCTTCCCCCCCCACACTTTTTCTTTTACAATGCGATTTACGTCAGTGAGTCTTTCATGTAAACATTGCATCAGATTTGTTCTACCTGCCAGCTTTTGTTTTCTGTGTTTCACGGTGTCCGTAGCCTTAAGGCTGGTTCATACTTGACGTGGACGTGCCACCACACACACGTGACAGTAGTGGTGTAATTTTCGTCACAGTCCGGGCACAAACCGTACAAGTTGAAATGACACGGACTGTCTGTCCAGTCGTGCAAACGCCCCATGATCGTTCATTGGCCGGGAGAAAAGTAGCAGAAGGTCAGGAAGGAGATGGGAACAAAGGTCCTTTATAATCTTCTTTTTCTACGCGCTCTGATCAGACTGAAAACAAATATGACTAGCAGAATTGAAGAAAGGTTGATGAGGAAGTTACTTTAGTTAAACAATATTGAAAAACAGGATGTTTTATTTCTGCTAGTTTGGGAAGCAGCCTTTGTAGTTTTTTGTGTAGCTTTTTTTTCATATCTCACAAATGTTTTACGCTATATGCTATGCCTATGTCTATGCCTTGCGTACTCAAAGTTCATGATGCATAGTTAGTTCTTGAAAAATTCTTACTTTTAATATGACATCCATTCCACACATCATAAACATGACTTAAGAGCAGATTTGCTCTGCAGCCTGGCACGTTGCCGCAAGAAGTGTGAACATTGGGCATCTGGGATGGTCTGGCGCTATGGCACACATGCCGTGGCTCGGCTGTGCCCGCACAAAGCATGAACCAGGCCTCGCAGTGCCACTTACCATCTGATGCGATGGGTTTACAGCGCGGGGTGGTTTTCCTGAAGCTGCATACTTGTAAGCTGTTGTTCTGTTGGTCTGTGAGCATCACGCCCGCGTCTGTCCTCTCCTGCCCGAAG